TTTTCCTAGCTTAGTTTTTATAAATTAATTAAGAAAATTATAACAACCACACACAATGACGTTAGGGATGGTTTTAAAAATAAAGATTTAATTGCACTTCTATTTTTTTGTACTATTTTACAAATTTTTTCTTCTAACTATATTTATATTTGATTTTATTTATTTCAATTGTGTAATTTTGAAGTATTTGCTAACCCAACTTCAATATTTAATGGAGGCTAGAATAACTTAACTCTCACATCAACACATGCATAACTTTACACATCATGCCAGCTTAATTTTCTATTAAATATGTTTTGGTTGGCAAATAAACTAAAACTGCATTATTTAATCAGTGAGCTTCAAATTATAAAAAATAAAAATAAAAAGTAGAATTAACAATTTTTTAATAGGTGTAAAATTGAATTTGCAATATTTACTTGGAATAAAATATTATTACATAATAATTATTTATTAAAATAGAAAAATGTTTTAAAAACTATACAAATATTTAAACCAGCCATTTTTATCTAAATATACACTGATTAGAGGTAATTACTGCAATTCTACCTTTTTTCAAATAGGGTGCAATATTAATAGTCTGATTATCAGCAAAGAAAGGTGTGGTGGAGTATCTCAGGAAACAGCCAGCATCATAGGCTCTACCCTCTGTGTTGGGAAGACAACTTTGTAAGTTGTTGTATCCAACTTGCATGCAATTCTGACAATTAATCTGAGTGGCAGTTTCAACACACTGTGCAACAGCATAAACTGCACTACCACCAGCCACCAGTGTCTTCGTAGCTGCATAAAAATCTCCAGTTTTGGGTACTGCTGTTTGGAGGTCCATTAGGGCTTGTTGTCCAGCTGCTCTAAAATCAGTGACAGTTGAACTTATGTTCCCACATGATACCCCACTGCCAATTTCGTTTGTCTGATCGTAGAACCTGTTACTCTCATATCTACATATCTCTCACATTTTGAAAACATCAAAATCAAAATCAAGTAAATAATTAAACTAGCTCAAAATTCTTAATAGCCACTTAATGTGAATATACATTTCTGTTGGATATCTCGACTACAAATAAGGTGAATTTAAGTGATTTCAAATCTCATCTTACAGAGATATATTATACCTGAGGAAGCAGCCATCGTAGATGACTCTGGCGCCGTTGCCGTTGGAGCAGTTGCGGATCTGGGTGGTGGCAGTGTTGAAGCAAGAAAGACAGTCATTTTTCGAGAGATAGTTTCTGCACTGAAACATAGCGTATGTCAGCACTTGTTCTCTTGCTTTCTGTACTGTTCCAAAGTGCTTGCTTTGATTCCTAATCTCTTCTCTCATGTCTGAAAAGGTTTCATTGATATTTGCAAAGAAGCTACGCAAATCGGAAGCATTGAACGAGCTGCACCCTATGTTTACTAAATGTGTATCTGGGCCTGCAACTGCATCTTCAACAGCATTACTGCTCCACCATATCAAAATCAAGGCCACAACCTTAAGTTGCAGCATCATATATGTATGAGTTTGAGAGATAATGAAGTGTATAAGTTTGTGATAGGAACTTGATGAAAGAGTAAACTATGTTCAATTAACAAGGGCAGTGTGTTTTGTTAGCTATTATAGGAGTCTGCTACATATTCGTTGTTGCAACACAGTTTATGTCTGAATTTTTATGTAGGGTATTGCCTGTACCAATTAATGAACAATGATTGTAACAATTAAACGAAGTCAATGCTCTTAATGATGCTTATAAAATGTGGCGTTTACTTCTGTATTCTGGAAATGATTATACTGTTATCCTTACAACTACACTCTTTTCTGTAATTGTATTTAAAAGTAAAATATGTTCACATCATTTTATGTCACTTTATTTTTAATGAATTTTTAAATAAATACATTTTAATCAATTAACGGTTTATATATATATAAAAAAACCATTTATGGACACGTTCTTGATAATAAAAACTCAGAAAATAAACAAATAGACGAATCAGATATGATTTGGAGTAGGTATTGATGGAATTCAACAGTGTTTGTATGCTGAACTGGAGGGTAAACAAAACTGTATTAATGATAAAAAAAAAAACCCTTAATATTTAATACATTTGTTAAATAACAATTTTATACTTTAATAATTTAGTTGGATCTCCAAATCATCAATAAAAATAGGCGGCTGTTTAAGAATTGACTTCTAAACTATTTGTTGAGTAAAATAACTATTATGTTTAGAAATAAACTATTATGTGTTGAAAGTGTATGGTATGGCCTTGCTTTAAGAGTACCAGGTGGCATGGCCTTAATTTTAAAATTATTGTTATAGGAATTGAAGTATGGTTTCAGCATTAGAAGGAAAACCAAATGGAAAAAAAATGTAAAAATGTTTCAATCTAGGGATATTTAATTCTATTCATAAGAATGAAACCAATTAATAAATATATATCAGATATTCGTTAGAATTCAAAAGCTATGCAACCAATAGACTTAGATTTCTTATAAAGTTTGCAACAATTAGTATTTTTTAAATGCATTTTCTTTTGTTATGTTTTATATAGGTTTAATTTTTATTTTATTTTTTTAATAAATCGATGTGATTATTACTTCTTTCTTTCCATTTCTAAATTACTTATCTTCAATCTCTTCTAATTTATCGATGACTTAACTTCCTTTTTCTTCAACAACAGATTGAAAACTAGTAGAAAGAAAACGGAAAAAAAATTGATCGACAAGCTGAAAATAAATAATCACGTCATCTAGTTACAATAAAATTAAACAGAAAAAAAATACTTAGACAAAAATAAAATTTTTTTTTGACATTCTAAGATTACTTTTATTAAGGATTTATATCAAAATATTCAATTATGTGATCCAAATTCTATGAACTTAATTAAGTTTTATTTGTACTTTCTGTGATCCAAATTCAGAAATAACTTATTTATTAATATACATATGTGTTAATATATCCAAATATTGATTTAGTGATTTCGGTATTTCCTATAGTTCTCTAAGTTGAGTTTTCTTTTTCTATGTGTTGAATCTTTTTTAGAGTCAGTTTTGTAAAGTAGTAAAACCCTAAATATTTCTTACTATGTATATTTTTTTTGTCCATTAATCCTGACAGAAAAAAAACGATGTTTGATATGGATGCTTTTTGCTAAAGCTAAGCTTATAAGTATAGAATGAAAAGCTGAAGTGTTGGCTGTGAATACGATAGAAAGTCAATGGTGTATTATATTCTGTTACATTCTAGAATTTAGGTTATGTGAGATTAAATTATGCAGACATGTAGATAGATATTAGTTGCACAGCCTAAGCCACGTTATGGACACAACTAGAAACTGTCTCCTGCATCGATAATCTCTCTTCTACTTTATAATCTTTTTGCAACCTCACTTTTTAGTTTCAAAGTGGGAGAAGAATGTCAAACACTATGTAAAAACTGCAATCCATACCATACAAGGTGTTGATGGAACTGTTCAATCTTATGAAATTTACAAAGTAATATGGAAGAGAAAATACCGTCTAAGGGCTTGGAGTGTAAGGGCTTGGAGTGTAAGTATCTGAGATTATAAAAGGAATAGTTGATGGAATATGAAAAATATGAAGATAACTTTTAAAATACTATTGAGTAGAATATGAAAGTAATAATTTAAAGGAATATATTTTGTAGTTGTATGTATATCAAATGTTAATATAATGTTTATATTTGAGTATTTATACATCTCATTTCACGTATATAATTATTCTAAAAAATACTGGTCACAGATACTCAGATAAAAAGTTCTATATTTTTATTTTTATAGAATAAATTTTTACCTCATTTTATACTATTCTAAAATCTACATTACATTTTAATATTATTTCTTGATGATGATTGATTTAGTAACTTTAAGCATAATGCACAATAATTCAAACCTCAATCTTGATAACACTTCTGTAAAAATATTTGTAATTTTCATATTTACTCCTCTAATAAAATAAAATAATATTTAATTACTATTTGTTTTGCTCTACTGCTAAACATTGAACCTAAATTGTCCATTTTGTAAATTTTTTATTAACATAACATGTTCTCATATGATAGAGTTCAGAGGATTTGGAACATGGTCGGATGAATTTTGCAACAATGATATCACGTATCCTTTTATTAGTTTTTACCAAATTTTTCAAGAAATATCTTTCAGTTTTAACTTTAAAAATTAGTTATTATTTAGATTTAAGAAATCAAGATTGAAATAATATTGTAAATATATTTTATATTTTATATTCTATTACATTTTGCTTTGTATAATAAAATAAAATAACAAGTTATTCCACATACCATATTTCTTATATTTTTAATATCCCTATTCTATAATCCCTAAAAATTTCTAACACAAGGAAAGGCTCAAACTCACTTTTGGCAACACAAACATGAAGCAACCTTGTGTAATGAGCATATATGGAATATGCAAACAATTGTGTAATGAAAAGGAAAGATTTATGTCAAAAGGAGGTCATTCAACAAGTTCAATTCCAAATGTGGGAATGGTATAAAAGAGAGGATAAAATGAATTACCATATGTTTTTCTTTGTTATAACCAAAAAGAATTATGTTTTATTGATAGAGTGTTTGGGAAGCTCAAACCCTTTTACACATGTAAATTGAAAAGATAGGTTCTCAACAGACAACTGCATACAAATCCAAAATTCTCACCTGCCTATCTTTAAGAAGATATGGAAGTCAATATTATACTCATATACATTTCGGTTCTAAGCAACTTATTGGCCAGTTGTCTTGTCTATATGTGGTGTTACAACCTTGGACTATGTTTGAAAAACTTGTAACAATGAATATTATATAATAGAGTCATAGGCTTTTCTGAAAATGTGGGTAACTATAGGTGGTAAGATCCTTCGTATTTGGGGATGTTAGAACGTATAAAGAATTTGGGATAAACTAATAATTGAATTTTCATCAAATGATTGATTAGTATGAATTGGAAATAAATAAAAATTACATTCCGAAAAAAATTAACCAACAAAGAGGAATCAATTAAATTGACACTTGCATTACATTATTAAATTGATCGATATCTAGGAAACTAGAAAATATATAGATAGCATTACACGTGGACAATATCACTGATAAACTACTCTTAAATCAACAGTTACATTCATATATATAACTACTGTTTAGATAAACTTCTCAAAACGTACACATGATGAAAAGTTATTATCCAAAGCTTTTGTCTAATTTATTTGGTTCAAAGTTATCAAATTCTCATAATCATCGAGCTGATAGAACAGAAATGGAGACAGTGGCATTAGATGAACTAGCAGAGTTGCCTTCCCTATTTATCATATTGGCGTCAACAAACACAGGCATAGTTGGTCGCATGTGCTCCATTAAGCTCTTGCTTTTGAGTAGCACTACTACTTCAGACATTGTTGGCCTACTTGCTGCAGATGCCTGAGTGCACAACAACGCAATTTCTATGATTTTCTTTACTTCTTCTGCATCATACTCATTAGGGTCTATGGCCTCGTCCACAAGCTCCAACTGCAGGCCTCTCTCATACAGTTTCCAAGCCTGTAAAGTGATAATCAAATGTCTCATTTCTCATAGTAAAACATCATCAGAAAACCAACAATATAGGAACTTTGCTTACTCGTTGAAGAAGGTATTCACGACATTCCTCCTCATTCTTCACATCAGTACTCTTTTGACCACTTATAATTTCTAGAACTACAATACCATAGCTGTAGGTATCAGCCTTCTCTGATAATTGACCATTCATTGCATACTCAGGTGCTGTGTATCCCCTGACAAGTGCATCTTTTAATCCACAGTTAACAAAACAACACTTATTAACATGTGACATGTGACGTGGTCAAATTAATTTCAAGAAATTCGAGTAAACGCAATTGTTTTAACTTACAATGTTCCTGCAAATTTTGTGCTGAGATGGGAACGATCCCCTGGCAGAAGCCTTGCCAAACCAAAATCAGCAATTTTGGGTTGAAGATCATCATCTAGCAAGATATTGCCTGTCTTTATATCTCTGTGTATGATGGACACATGGAACTCTTCATGTAAATATGCTAGTCCTCTTGCTGTGCCCAAAATTATATCGTAACGTTGTTGCCAATTGAGGGAACCTTTAGCACCTGTTGTTTTGAGTTTATATTATGCACTGTTGAGAATAAATGTTTTCAAATATTTCTGTCAGAGGTTAAGATGATTTACCAAATAAGAATCTGTCAAGGCTACTATTTGCCATGTACTCGTATACCAGAATTCTCTCTTCCCCTTTACTGCAGCAACCAAGAAGTCTAACGAGATTCCGATGATGAACATTGCTTATAAGTTTCACTTCACCTTCAAAATCATCCTCCATCTTGCTTGATTTTCCCAACACTAATTTCTTTATGGCAACAATTTTTCCATTTTTTAGAGTACCCTATATCAAATATATGATTGGCAAATCAGTGAAAGAGATCTTCAGTTTATGTAACTGTAGCTTTAAGTATTTCTTTGTTAGGTTTTGAAATCTTACTGTTTGTTTTATATTTATTTTTTGAAGACTTTTTTCTTTCTTTTTGTAATTTATTTTAAAAAATTATCAAATCTTTATTGTATACTTTTAAAAACTTGTAAAGGGCATTAGGAAAATGATTATTTGTTTATTAATTGCAAACATAAACAAAAACTTCAAATAAAAGAGAATATTTTTACAGCTTTTAAAAAAATCTTACACATTAATCATTGTCATTAGGATGCTTGCAATTATGTTATTAAAATATACACATCATAAATTCACCTTGTATACAGCACCAAAACCTCCTTCTCCAAGTTTATTTTCAGCACTGAAATTTTTAGTTGCAGCTTTCAAATCATTATATTTGTAGTTAACTGGTCCTCTTAACTCAGTTGCTCCCAGTATGTCACCTGCTACGGAACACAAGTTTAGATTTTTGAAATAAATGATATAGATACGACTTTTCAGAATAAAATAATTGATAATAACAAATAAAAGGGTTGTGGAGTATAAGACATCAAATGCAGAAAAATTGTCGAAGATTAAATTGCTTNTTCAGGATATTCCGTCGTTGATGACGGCCCCGGCGTATCGCCACCGGTACTCGGCCCCCTTCCTTCCATGATCAACAGTAAATACACTAAGACGAAGGAGATTTTAGGGTTACCTGGTTGATTCTTGTAGCAGCGTAAGCACAGCAGATGCAAAGGCAGCAATCTCGCTCACGGTTCACACTGTTTCTGTTCTTCTGCAAAAGTGAATTAATTCCCCTGTGAATCGTGTTGAAGAAGACAAACCGTTTAATCGTCAAGCGCCGTAGGATTCTCTTTAATCTAATGGTTCCCAATTCGCGTCTCCTCGCTTCCCTAAAAGAGCGGGAAAACCCTAAAAATCACAACGTTAAAACGGTGCGTAGCATCACTCAACGTCCTCTCGTAAATTAGCCCATCGACGCTATGCTCATTTACTCGGACTCGGGGGGCATGTACCATAGGATACCCAATCCTCCAATGGTCGACCGGTGACTAGGGCGACCTGGTAACAGTTGAACCAATACGAGGCCTTCTTAAAGATGATGTGTTGTCGATCACTTGGTCCTCGACAACCAAATAGTAATGTCGCGACATAACGTTCGCACTGCGCACACGACAAGTCACCTATTCATGTCGACGCACAGGACGGTCGACATACAAGCGCTATATCGTAGCGTGCAGTTACAGATAAACAGTTACGCACAATCAGCTAACCAACGCCGCGAATCACGGAAGTAATTGACTTAGTATCAGCACACGATCTAGCAGTTACAACTTCTACACAGTCAAACTTCGATAACTGACCGGATTGCCAGGTAACGGTTTATTTTACTGTTTTAAATACACCCTTCACACCAGAAAAAAGGTACGTTTTTCCCCTGAGAGAAATTATTCTTATTCTTGATCACTTTGAACAAAAAGATTCAGGTGACTCCTTTTCTGACTTGAGCGTCGGAGTGCCTTTGCAGGTACCTAGCCCACCTTTTCCTAAGGAACAGAACATAAAGAAAGGAAGAAAACATCGCGAAGGTGAGCATAAAGAGAAGCAGTTCAGTTTTGTTAGGTTTGTATTTCGGCCTCCACACCCCTACTGAAACATGTATACTTTCCTCTTGTAATTCAGGCATCATCTCATGTTTAAAAAAATATTATTGATTAAAATTATCATTTAAGAAAATGACGCATATGAAAGTGGTATGAACATGTATGAAACTTGTGCCCAATAATTCTATGCACATAGGAACATCATTCACTTGATGAAACAAATAATATGAACTCCAAATTTTTTAAGCATATTTTTATGTGTTGACTACCCTTAATTTATGGAGATTATTGCTATTTTTTTATCAGATTATATGTAAATAAATCAAATTCAGATCTAAGTTTTTTCCCAAAGCAGTAGACTTCATTCTCTTCGTGGTCTATAGAATAATAAAATCATTGTCCTTGTTTTCCTCAGAGTACTGGTTTTTCTGGTCCTTTATTTAATAATGTTAAATTAAATCTCTAAATTATTATTTTAGTTGAGTTTTAAAATGTGTTTTTAATTGAATTTTGATTTGTTGAGAAAAGTTAACTATTTAAGTCAGTTATCTGAAATCACAACCTCGTTGGAAATGTACAAAAGTTGGTTCAGATACCTAAAAAAATATATACCTAAGTAAAATTTGCCAAACTTTTCAATGATTTATTGAAAGTTTTGTTCTTAAATATACGAAATAATTATATGTGTACCGTTTTTGTATAATAATATATAATTGGCTTTAAGAATTCATATTTTATGATAAATTCACTATTTTAATGATATATATTATCTCTTAACTATTTCTTTTTCTATGCATAAAATTTAAGCACCGTATTGAATTAAGGGATTTTGAAGGAAGTTTACAGTTATACTCTCTTTCATCTTTACCTTTTTTTTACTTTATTTAATTTTTTATTATGTGAGAATATTAAGTCTTGGTTTGTGTGTATTATTTTGTGCAGTGTGGGAAGTACTTACTTATCCTTTTCAATATATTTTTTACTGGTAAAATTTTTTTAAGACTTATTATAACTCGTTAATATTTATTTTGTTTTAAGAAAATACTTTCAATTTTAGTTTTAAATTTAATTTGACTTAATATACCTGCTACGTAATGTTATTTTTCTTTTCATTTAAAATAATTCTCTTATAATATTTATTTGTTTACTTAGTTCTTGAAAACAAATCTAGGTTTGTGCATTTTTAATTCATTTTTATTAAATTTTTTATTTATTAAGTATTTAAAATTGTTATATTTTTTAATTAATTAGATGACGTGTTATTTTGCTCACATAAATTTAATTTATAAATTTAATTCAGTATGCTTAGTTATACATTTCATCTCTTAAGTATTTTTTTTCCTATTCATAAAATTTAAACACCATATTTAGTTGAAAGGATTTGACAGTAGTTTTCACTCATCTTGCCCTTTTACTTTTTTTTTTCTCCTCATTCCTTATTTACATTGCTTATCAGATTCATCAATCTACTCCAATATTATAGATTTATTTCTATTTCTATCCGAAGTTGAAGTTCTTTTAGGGGTTTTTCTTATGATAATATTATTTTGGGCAAGTGTTGGGAGAAGTCACCTGTTCTTTTTAATATATTCTTTTTACTGATAAAAAAGTTTCAAGAATTATTATAACTCTAGTCAATATTTGTTTTATTTTAAAAAATACTTTCAATTTTAATTTTAAAATTAATTTGATTTAATACCCGCCACAAAAAGTTATTTTCCTTATCATTTAAAATAATTCTCTTTTAATATTTATTAGTGTTTACTTAATTCTTGAAAAAACTTTTAATCTTATTTTTGTTTGCTTAATTCTTGAAGAAAACAAAAATCTAGGCATACTATGTATGATCAAGACAAAACCAACATATAATTGGGTTTATGACTTTTTTTTAAGAGAGAATTCATTCTACATTTATGGGTCTTTATTTTCATGGGAGGATTTATTATAAAAAAATTACATAAATATGATATAGGTTCAACTTACAAAAAATGTTGATATAAGTTTCAACTAAAAATATTAAAACAATGAAATAATTATATTGTGCTCAATTTCCTATTTTTATCAAATATGTGACTTCAATTTATATTTGGATTCCTATAACATGACAGTATGTTGGTGATTATTGTTATTTTGATAACATATTTTTTATCTAGTATAATATGATGAAGTTATGTAATTATTATTAATTAATATTTTACTGTTAATATAAACGATATGTTAATTCTTACATATAAATAAATGTGAAGTTATGTAATTATTATAAATTAATATTTTACTGTTAATATAAACGATATGTTAATTTTATTATTTTCATTTACTGTCATTGTCGTTGTCATATTCTTGATGACTTTCACATCATAATACGATAAAGATATTAATATATTATTATGTCAGTAACGTTATGTTAATATATTATTAGGTGTGTAATTTGTCATGCTCTCAAAAACTTTCATATCATTACCATCTATATACATAAGGATAGGCTTTGTCGTTACCAATGTCACTTTACATTAATCATAATATCATTTAATATTAACTAAAATATTATTTTATAATAATTTTAAAATTTCATATTTCTTAACAAAAAAATAAAAACTAACCAAAATGACAGGTAAAATAATATTTATATCACCTAACTTATAAAAAAAATTAAACAATAGAAACTCAAATAAAAATTAAACACTTGAATACAAATATATAAATTTATGAAAGTCCTAAAACTTAATTAAAAAATATTTATTTATTTGCTATGAATTATTATAATATATGTATATAAAAAAAAAACTATCAATGATATTTTAACATCCCATTTTCAAATAGGTAATTAATTATAGTGCATTTTTTCTCCATTTGTTTCTTATGACATTGAATAACAAATATATTCTCTCTTTAATAATTTCTCACCACGTGTCAAGGGGATTGTGAATTTCCAAATATATTACTTTATAAAAATAATTATTTATCTTATTACATAACACATACTAAAATACCAATTTCTCTTCTTTTTCTGCTTATCTTTCTCTTCTTGAACCGACGCATGCCAACGTTTAACCTTTTTCCATAGGAAAATGTTATTTTGACAACAAAAGTTTGACACAATTTTGACAACGGCGACGTGGCAGCTGTGCATTGGCTCAGTGAACCGGGATGAGGGGTATTTTGGGTTTTTTCTGGTTTGTTTTCAATTCACTGAGCCAATGCACAGCTGCCACGTCGCCGTTGTCAAAATTGTGTCAAACTTTTGTTGTCCAAATAACATTTTCCTATGGAAAAAGGTTAAACGTTGGCATGCGTCGGTTCAAGAAGAGAAAGATAAGCAGAAAAAGAAGAGAAATTGGTATTTTAGTATGTGTTATGTAATAAGATAAATAATTATTTTTATAAAGTAATATATTTGGAAATTCACAATCCCCTTGACACGTGGTGAGAAATTATTAAAGAGAGAATATATTTGTTATTCAATGTCATAAGAAACAAATGGAGAAAAAATGCACTATAATTAATTACCTATTTGAAAATGGGATGTTAAAATATCATTGATAGTTTTTTTTTTATATACATATATTATAATAATTCATAGCAAATAAATAAATATTTTTTAATTAAGTTTTAGGACTTTCATAAATTTATATATTTGTATTCAAGTGTTTAATTTTTATTTGAGTTTCTATTGTTTAATTTTTTTTATAAGTTAGGTGATATAAATATTATTTTACCTGTCATTTTGGTTAGTTTTTATTTTTTTGTTAAGAAATATGAAATTTTAAAATTATTATAAAATAATATTTTAGTTAATATTAAATGATATTATGATTAATGTAAAGTGACATTGGTAACGACAAAGCCTATCCTTATGTATATAGATGGTAATGATATGAAAGTTTTTGAGAGCATGACAAATTACACACCTAATAATATATTAACATAACGTTACTGACATAATAATATATTAATATCTTTATCGTATTATGATGTGAAAGTCATCAAGAATATGACAACGACAATGACAGTAAATGAAAATAATAAAATTAACATATCGTTTATATTAACAGTAAAATATTAATTTATAATAATTACATAACTTCACATTTATTTATATGTAAGAATTAACATATCGTTTATATTAACAGTAAAATATTAATTAATAATAATTACATAACTTCATCATATTATACTAGATAAAAAATATGTTATCAAAATAACAATAATCACCAACATACTGTCATGTTATAGGAATCCAAATATAAATTGAAGTCACATATTTGATAAAAATAGGAAATTGAGCACAATATAATTATTTCATTGTTTTAATATTTTTAGTTGAAACTTATATCAACATTTTTTGTAAGTTGAACCTATATCATATTTATGTAATTTTTTTATAATAAATCCTCCCATGAAAATAAAGACCCATAAATGTAGAATGAATTCTCTCTTAAAAAAAAGTCATAAACCCAATTATATGTTGGTTTTGTCTTGATCATACATAGTATGCCTAGATTTTTGTTTTCTTCAAGAATTAAGCAAACAAAAATAAGATTAAAAGTTTT